ACAGTGACAGCTGAGGTATGCTGCTGGGGGTGGGGGGGGGGTAGATGTTAACTGTGAGGATGCTGGTCTGGACAAGTGCTCCTTTCCATCATCTCCACCCCCAAACATCAGCTCTTCTCCAACCTTCCTGAGAGTAGTGGATGCTTTCTCCAAAGCCTGGAGACCCAGTTGCTGAGCCTTGGGAAAGGAAGTGGTTACTAGAGTTTTCCATAGTCCACACCCCTACACATACACAGTCTTCATTGCATGCGGGATGTGATCTCCAACACATCTTAGTTCCCCAGACTGGTGGCGGTCAGAGAGAAGGAAGAGGTGGATCTCAGGCAGGGGTCAGACCATCAGACCTCCAAGAGAGCCCACCTCTTTGGGGCCTGGGCTAGTGGCCCCTGGGACCCTTTACCTTTTGGACCACAGGTCCAGTTACTAGTTGATACCTTGGGAGAATAATGCTAATTATAGTCTGATTCCTCTTTCTTATAACTCCCTTTCTTGGGGATCCCTGGATGGCACAGCGGTTTGGTGCTTGCCATTGGCCCAGGGTGCGATCCTGGAGACCCGGGATCGAATCCCACGTCGGGCTCCCGGTGCATGGAGCCTGCTTCTCCCTCTGCCTGTGTCTCTGCCTCTCTCTCTCTCTGTGACTATCATAAATAAATAAAAATTAAAAAAAAATAACTCCCTTTCTTCACTGGCTTTGTCCTCCCCCACTCTCAAACCCATCAAAAGATTAATCTTTGTTTCCTTCCCAATCCTGAATCTCCTGGGTCTATAGGGCAGTTGGGGGGTGCTTCTGGATCTCTGGTTCCCTGTTTTGTTCAATGTGTCTTTCAGCCACCTTCCCTTTGCCTTGCTCTTCCTCATAGCTAGGGTATCTCTTGGAACCTCTATATCTTTGTCTCTCTCTGTACCTCTCCTTGTGTCCATGTTTAGGGATCTCCTCCAAATTTGTCTCCCTACATTTTGGGGTTATGTCTTCGTTCTGCTGGGTTTCTCCCTTTGGGAATGCACCAGTGCAACGGTGAGGCCCATGGGAATGGGCGAGGGAGCAAAGCTGCCTTCCTGCCCCCATCTAGAGGCGACTGCAACCCAAGGATGGCCACGACCGGGTCGCTTCTCATTCAGGGCACAAGCACCTGGTCGATGCCCCGCTGTCCGCCCCCACCCCTGCAGCCGCCCTCCGCCAGGCGCCCCCCCACCCCGGCCCCTCCGCCCGCCTGGAAAAGGCAAATTTGACATTTTTAAATCCCGAGCCTTAGAGGGATCGATGCGGCCCGGGGGCCCCGCCCGGGGTCGATATTCCTGATTGGGAAGCGGCCGCTGCGCGGAGCCCGCGTGTAAATCACCCGGACTGGGGGAGGGAGCACCGCAGGCGACCGCGTCCCAGGCGCGCCGAGCCAGGCGGGGTCCGGGCCGGCGACCCTAGGGCGGTGGAAGGAGGAGACCCACGGGCCTCAGAGGCGGGGAGACAGCCCGCCCGGGGGTCCTCCCCCTCCCCCTCCCCGGCCCAGCTCTGCCAACTCCGCGGGCTGGCTCCGGTCTCGCTTCAGCGGCCGCCACCCTTCGTTGCCCCTGGAGCCGCCGGGGAGGCCGGTGTCGGAGCCAGCCATGCGGCGGCTCCTCTCAGGCCGCTCCCGCGGGGCCTGGGCTTCGGCGGCGGCTGTCACGAAGCCGACAGGCCGGGCGGGCCGGCAGGGGCGGGTGGCGGGGGAGAGGCGCGGGGGGAGGAGGGCTGGCGGCGCCCGCGCTCGGTGGGCGAGCAACAGATGTTTGCGCAATTGAGGGACGAGGTGGCTGGGGCAGCCGAGCGGGGGCCGGAGGGCGCGGGCGGGGCACAGCGGTGGCCCAGACCCTCCAGCGGGAGTGGGGTGGGGTGGCAGTGCGGGCCTTCAGCGGGAGTGGGTGGGGTTGGGTGGGTGGCAGTGCGGCCCTCCAGCGGGAGCCGGTGGGGTGGCAGTGCGGCCCTCGAGCGCGAGTGGGTGGGGTGGGGTGGATGGCAGTGCGGGCCTCGAGCGGGAGTGGGTGGGGTGGGGTGGATGGCAGTGCCGCTCTCCAGCGGGAGTGGGTGGGGTGGCAGTGGGGCCCTCCAGCGGGAGCGGGTGGGGTGGGGTGGGTGGCAGTGCGGGCCTGGAGCGGGAGTGGGTGGGGTGGGGTGGATGGCAGTGCGGGCCTCGAGCGGGAGTGGGTGGGGTGGGGTGGATGGCAGTGCGGGCCTCAAGCGGGAGTGGGTGGGGTGGGGTGGATGGCAGTGCGGGCCTCAAGCGGGAGTGGGTGGGGTGGGGTGGATGGCAGTGCGGGCCTCGAGTGGGAGTGGGTGGTATGGCAGTGCGGCCCTTCAGCGGGAGTGGGTGGGGTGGGGTGGGTGGCAGTGCAGCCCTCCAGCGGGAGTGGGTGGGGTGGGGTGGATGGCAGTGCGGGCCTCGAGCGGGAGTGGGTGGGGTGGGGTGGATGGCAGTGCGGGCCTCGAGTGGGAGTGGGTGGGGTGGCAGTGCGGCCCTTCAGCGGGAGTGGGTGGGGTGGGGTGGGTGGCAGTCCAGCCCTCCAGCGGGAGTGGGTGGGGAGGCAGTGCGGCTCTCCAGCGGGAGTGGGTGGGGTGGCAGTGCGGGCCTCGAGCGGGAGAGGGTGGGGTGGCAGTGGGGCCCTCCAGCGGGAGCGGGTGGGGTGGGGTGGGTGGCAGTCCAGCCCTCCAGCGGGAGTGGGTGGGGTGGCAGTGCGGCCCTCCAGCGGGAGTCCGGGGGCTCCGGGGCGCTCTGGGGACGGCTGAGCCGGGAGAGGCCCCCTCCCGCTGGGACCAGGGCACCAAGAACAAAAGAGAAGGAGTGAGCAGCGAAGTTTGGGCCCTTGGCGGCCCCTGCCCTGCCCCGCCATCCTCCCAGTTCTCTGTCGGGGAACCGGGGCCTTCGAGGCTGAGAAGGGCGGGAAGGCGAAGAGCCGGTGGGCCCCGAGGCTGGCGCCGCGCGCAGAGTTCCCGGAAGGTCTCTGGGTTCACCTGCCCGCCGCCCGCCTGTGCGTAGACACACTCGCCGCGTCCCCGCCGCGTCCCCGCCGCGTCCCCGCCGCAGTCCAGACCCTCCCCTCCCGCTTCGGCTTGTCAGATCCCCCCACTCCCCACCCCGCGCCAGTTTATAGAACAACAATTTGGGGAAAACAATCCGGGCCGAGTGACGGCCCCGTAATTGTGACAAAGTGAGTGCGGGCGGCTGGAGAGAGCGCGGGGCGGGAGCGCGGCGGGGCGAGGCGGAGGCCGGGGCGCCTCGCGCCCGCCCCGCCGCCCCCTCGTTCTCATTCCGGTCACCTCCCATCCCTCTCCTGGACTCTTCTCCGGCTCCCCCCCCCCCCCCGGCCCCTCGCGCCTCCCTTCGCGTCTTCCTCCATCGCTCTTCCCTTTCCTCTCCGTGCCGGCTCCTCTCCCGCCCGCAGCGCCTCGACAGCCCCTCCCGCGGGGCGCTTTTTCTCCGCTCACTTCTCCCGTGCCCTCCGCCCTCCACTCGTTTCTCCATCTTTTCCGCGCACTCCTGTCGCCCTCGGGCCCCGGGCTCCCGGCGCACCCTCCGCTTCCCTCCCCGCCCGGCCCTCGCTTGCGGGGATCGAGCCCAGAGCCCGCGCCCCCGACCGCCGTCTGGGCGAGGCCCGCGCTGCCCGGCCTGCCAGGTCCCTCGGGGCCGGGGTGGGCGGGCGGCCTGCCCCTTCCCTGCCGGGTCCGCCGCGGCCTCCCCCACCCCCGCTTTCCAGCGCCTGCAGCGAGTTTGTTTGTCCAGCGGCGGCCGCCGCCGCCCGAGCTGTTTGCCGAGCTTAGCGCGCCGCCTCGCAGCGCGGGCCCAATTAAGTCTCATTCATTATTCAGCGCCCAGCGGCCCGCGCCCCCCAGCCCGCGGCTCCCGCGTGGCTCTGGGGCCCCTCCCAGCTCTGGCCCCTCTGGGGGCCCTCAGGCGCCCTGGGCGAGCCGCGCTCCCTCCCCGGGCCGGGATCAATGGTGCGGGGCCCGCCGTGCGGAGGAACCGAAGCACCACTCCGTGCGCTGCGGGGAGGAGAGCGGGGCGAGGGCCCCCGGGCCCACCCCAACCCCGAGTCAAGGCTGGGGGACCTTGGAGATCCCAGGCTTTCCTCCAAGAGGAGGAAACAGGCCCAAGGAGCGGCGTGACTTGGCCAAGGTCGCGCAGCAGAGCCAGGATTGGAGCCCAGGGCACTGAAGGGAAGGCTCTGGCATCCCAGCTCCTTCCCAGCATCCAGGTGGGAGGGAGGAGGCTCCACGACTCTGGGGCTGCGGCCTCCCTGCCTCTCTGCTCTCCCGAGGGCGCGCCCCTCACCCCGTGTCCCATTTTGCTGCTGTTTCTGCCTGGAGCCCGTAGACCTCAGGATACAGCGGACTCGGGCTCCTGCTACATCTGGAGGCCCCCTCAGGCCTCAGGCTCAGGTCTAGATGTAATCTTCCCGATTGGCAGGCCCGGAGGGGGGGCTAAGGAGGCAAACTCGGGGGCTGGGGGTCCCCTCTGAGGCCTCCCGGTGAGTGAAGTCAGCCTTAGAGGAACTGGGAAGTGGAGCCATCCAAGGCAGCCTGGAAAGACAACGGAGTAGGAAGAGAGCGCACCCTGAGCTGAGGGACAAGTCACCCTTTCGTTTGTAGGATTGGAAAAGGGCGATCAAAGGCCTCTTTCTGCGTTATAGCGAACCGCTCGGGGCTGCTTTGCCCCGGCAACTGGACAAGGTGAGTCGGGGGACCCGCCCGGCCCCGCCCGACCTTGAGCGGCAGCGCCACCTGGTGGCGGCGGTGCCGCGGTGCAGAGGCGCCTGCCCCTCTGAGCGAGGTAAGGGGGGGTGGGGGGAGGCTGGATTCGCCCAGGAAACCTTAAACCGAATTGGCCCCAAAGGGCTGTCGAGAGGATTCCGAGGCTGAAAGGTGATCCCGAGGAGGCCGAGGCGCGGGGGTGGGGGTGGGGGTGCTTAGGGAGGAGCCTGACCCTGATGGCCCCACTTCCGTGACACAGCAAACACAGAAAGACAAAGTCCATTGAGATGGAAGTGGGAGCCGAGTGAGAAGGGCCATTTTGCCTCTGTAGTCAAAGGAAATGCCTGGTGTGACGGGGTCTGGGAGCCGGGTACCCAGGTATGGCCGCGCACCCTGGGACTAGCTGGTGGACTGGATGGTGGTCTTGAGGCCCACTCTACGTAGGGGGGAGATAGGGGCAGGCACACTTGGCATCTGGTGTTCATCCGACCTCTTTGGAGAGACTCCAAGGCCGCCTTTGTGGGGTGCCAGGGGACGAGGTCAATAGGTTGGTTTTCCAGAGCTGTTTAAGTAGAGGGACCTCAAGGCCTCTTCCAAGTTTGACTGATGGGAAGATTTAGTGACTTGGAGAGATGGAAAGGCTGGAGAGGGGCTGAAACCTTGCCCATGTGTCTGAGGGAAGCCTATAGTGGGAGGTGAGGAATGCTGGGGAGGGACAGGAGATTTTTTTTTTTTTAAGATTTTATTTATTTACTCATGAGAGACAGAGAGAGAGAGAGAGGAGAGAGAGAGAAAGAGAGAGAGAGAGAGAGAGAGAGAGAGAGAGAGAGAGAGAGGAACAGGCACAGGCAGAGGGAGAAGCAGGCTCCACACAGGGAGCCCGACATGGGACTCGATCCCAGGTCTCAAGGATCATGCCCTGGACCAAAGGCGGTGCTAAACTGCTGAGCCACCTGGGCTGCCCGGGACAGGGGACTTTCAAAATGTGTAGGAACTTTAGAAGAGCATTCTATTCACTCCTGTCCACTTCACTCCCCCATAAGGCATTCCAGGAGTTGGTGATCTGAAAAGCTGCTGCTTTTCTGTGCCTGTGCTGGGTTCTAAATCAAATGAAAGCATTTAAAAACATTTTTCTCAGGGATCCCTGGTGGCTCAGCGGTTTGGTGCCTGCCTTCGGCCCAGGGCATGACCCTGGAGTCCCGGGATCATGTCCCGCGTCAGGCTCCCTGCATGGAGCCTGCTTCTCCCTCTGCCTATGTCTCTGCCTCTCTCTCTCTGTCTCTCATGAACGAATAAATAAAATCCTTAAAACAAAAAAACAAAAAAAAAACCCACAAAAAAAAAAACCCAGATTTTTCTCCCCTACATTTGGAGTTGCTATGCATGTAAAAAACAGGAACGAGATGCCAGACCAAAGAGAGAATCCACATTTCAGGAACAGTCAGGAAGATCTGCACTTGATTATCATTGGAAGGAGAAATGGTTTACTGGGTTGGGAACTGGATGTAGTCTTACTATTGTTTTTTTTCTCTCTTAGGGTCTAAGGATGACCCTGACCATGACAGCCATGATTCTCGCAGAGGATCCCAGATTTCTGCTTTCTGGGCAATGTCAAGTGCCTTTGAACTTGACCTGACACCCTTTCCCTAGAGGATGGCCAAGGGGCTCTTGGTGACCTATGCCCTCTGGGCTGTAGGGGGCCCTGCTGGGCTCCACCACCTGTACCTGGGGCGGGACAGTCACGCACTGCTCTGGATGCTTACCCTGGGGGGTGGTGGGGTGGGCTGGCTCTGGGAGTTCTGGAAGCTCCCAAGTTTTGTGGCTCAGGCCAACAGAACCCAGGGGCAGAGACAGAGCTCAGGAGGCAGGACACCCCCTCCGAGTCTTATTCGCTTTGTCGCCCAGATGATGGTGGGCATCTATTTTGGCCTGGTGGCTCTCATTAGCCTTTCTTTCATGGCCAACTTCTATATTGTGGGCCTCCCACTGGCCGTTGGCTTAGGGGTCTTGCTGGTGGCTGCTGTTGGCAACCAGACCTCAGACTTTAAGAATACTCTAGGGGCAGCATTTCTTACTTCTCCTATCTTCTATGGCCGCCCCATCGCCATCCTGCCCATTAGCTTGGCTGCCAGCATTACAGCCCAGAAGCATCGCCGCTATAAAGCTTCAGTTGGGTCGGAATCGCTCAGTGTTCGACTCTATCGCCTGGGCCTGGCTTACCTTGCTTTCACAGGCCCTCTAGCCTACAGCGTCTTTTGCAACACAGCTGCCACCCTCAGCTATGTGGCAGAAACCCTTGGCTCCTTCCTGAGTTGGTTCAGCTTCTTCCCCCTTCTTGGCCGCCTCACGGAGTCTGTCCTCCTTCTACCTTACCGGATCTGGAGGCTGCTGGTGGGGGATCCTGGGTTCAGCAGCGGCTACTTCCAGGAGTGGGAGAAGCTCTATGAGTTTGTTAGCAGTTTTCAGGATGAGAAGCGTCAGCTGGCCTACCAGGTGAGGCTTCGTTCCCTCTCATTCCTGTCCAGGACAGCTCTGGGAGTCAAGCTAAGCCTCATTGGAGAGAATGCCCTTATGGGGAACTACCATTTTCACGTCTAGTGGGTCAGGCCCTAGAAGGGTGTCCTGGTTTCTTTGAGCTTCTGTGTGCAATGGATGAAGGCACAAAGGCTCCAATAGTGAGTGGGAAAGGATACATTGTTTACTTTTTATTGAGATATATAAAGCATATAGGTTTTATGTATACATGTGTGTGACCACCACTCAAATCAAAGTATAGAATATATCCAGCACAAAGAAGGTTGCCTTGTATCACTTGGAGTGACTCTATTCGGACTTCTGTTACCATAGATTAGTTTTTCCCGATCTTGAACCTCATATAAATGGAATCATTCCATATGTATCTTTTATGTCTGACTTCTTTATTTTTAAAATTATTTTATTTTTTAAAGTAGGCTCCATCCCCAACATGGGGCTTGAACTCACAACCCTGATATCAGGAATCACATGTTGCTTTCACATGCCCCATGTCTGGCTTCTTTCATTCAACATTGTGCTTATGAGATTTATTCATACTGTTTCATGGACTATGAATAGAAACTGTTAAAACTATAAATTGTTTCCATTGTTGTATATTCATCCCATTGTATGAATATACTACACCTTATCTATCCACTCTGCTGTTAATGGACATTTGGGTTAGTTCCAATTTGGGACCATTCTGAATAAAGTTGCTGTGAACATTCTCATACATGTCTTTGGTGGATATATATGCTTATTTCTCTTGCAAGGAAGAAGAGATCTTGTCAGGGATGTGAAATCCCAGGTTAGAAAATGGGCAGCTGTGATTCAAGGCTAGATGGAGAGCTAGCCCGTGTTTCAGAAGGCTGGAATTCTAATCTGAGGCTCTGGGCCTCTCTCTCAGGCAAGTAGAAGCCAACTCCAGAGATAGCACAGTCTGATTTAGCAAAGAAGTAGGGAGAAGCCCAGGTGCTCTGAAACTTATGGAATTCTAACTTGTCAGATTCTGTTTCCCTAAGGTTTTGAATCTCTCTGAGGGAGCAACGGATGAAGAAATACATGGAAGATACCGAGAGCTTGTGAAGATCTGGCACCCTGACCACAACCGACACCGGACTGAGGAGGCTCAGAGGCATTTCCTGGAGATTCAGGCTGCCTATGAAGTTCTGAGTCAGCCCAGAAAGCTCAGGGGATCCTGAAGGTGAGAAGAAATTTCCCTTTGGGGATGGACTCTTCCTGGCAGAGCCAGGCAGCTTGTCCCAGGTCAGCTTTGTCCATGTGGGTCATCCCAACAGCGTTAAAGAAACTGCTTGCAGTGGGGATGAGAAAAACTTAAAGGAGTAAGAAAGCTATTGTGGTAGAAGAGTGTGTTTATGTTGTGAATTTCTGAATTCTCATTATTGTATTCCTGACAGTTTCTTCTTAATATCAGATAGTGGAATGAAAGGCATATTATAAAACTAATAAAATATCTTTTGGAGAATATACTACTGTGCCCCACCCTGGTACATTGATGAGTTTTGTTTTCTTTCTTTCTTTCTTTCTTTCTTTCTTTCTTTCTTTCTTTCTTTCCTTCTTTCTTTTATGCAAAGCATTGAGTTAGGAGATTGAAGGGAAAATATGAAGGTTCTAGTATTTCATAAGTTGTACTGTAGCAGTAGGGATTTGATCTATCCTGTAGATTACCAATGGGTAAGAGAGGAGTTAAATTTTAAAATTTCAGAAAAATATCTTAATTCCATTTATAGGAGAGCTTTACTAGAAGCTATGCTTTTCCCAAGAAGGAACAAGCTGCTGTGTGTGTGGGGGGATTGTACTCCCATCACAAATTCTTCTGCTTCATAAAGTCTTGTAGAGAGTCCTCAGATTTTTTTCTTTTTCTTTTTAATTATTTATTTATTTTTAAAATTTCTTTGAGAGTCCTCAGATTTTATGTGGGTGGTTGGACTGGCTGGATTCTCGGGTGTCCCCCAAATTTTTTTTTAAGATTTTATTGATTTATTCATGAGAGACACACAGAGAGAGGCAGAGACATAGGCAGAGGGAGAAGCAGGCTCCATGTAGGAAGCCTGATGTGGGACTCGATCCTGGAACTCCGGGATCACGCCCTGAGCCGAAGGCAGACGCTCAACCACTGAGCCACCCAGGTGTCCCCAGGTATTCCCAAAACTTGGGGTATGACTCTGGACTACATACTTTGCTGCCTAGGAGCTTTCCATCTGGTGGGGGATATAACATACACAGGTATCGAAGCTTGCCTCCTTCAGTGTTTTGAACCAAGTGTCAAGAAGTATAAATAGAATGCACTGGAACATTAGAGGAAGGATAGATGAAATTATTTTATAGGGACTTATGGAAAAATTCATGATTTTATATCTCATGTGCCTTTATGGGGACTTTAGGGAAACCCTAGGGAACTAGCAGCTTGAGCATCTCAACAGGGTCTTATTTCATTCCTATGTAACCAGCCAAGTGTGGAAGAAACAGTCTAGGATCTACAGGAGCATGATGTTAAAATTATATACCTTTACTCCAGCTTTCTTGCTCTTTTGTGTTTGTGTACATCCTTAAAGCTTTTTTATTTTCCTGGAAATTAACTCTGAGGATGTATATATTTTTTTAAAAAGTAGAATTATTTTGGCTAACATTCCTTGCAGATTAAAATGAAATATGTTCAGACCAATTGAGAAGAATTAAATTTGTAGATTTTTTCTTTGTATTCATATATTAAAAAAATTAAAAATTTTTTGCCAATGGATTTATAAGATCAAGTTAACTTTTATACCTTTTTAAAGCTCCTCACATTGATATATACTTCTTCTGAAAAACACTAATAATTTGTCAGATTATCACATGGAATTTTAATGAGGCATTTTCTAGGCTATTGATTGCTAACTTATTATCATGATATGTAGTACTATTTCTGCAAAATGTAAATATATTAAAAATAGTCTATTAGGAAAAGCAGACAAAAGAATGATTAAGGGTTTTACTTGATTTGGAAAATTATTTTACTGTTCTCAAATTTTGTTATTAGCTTTTGTTACAAAAATATGACTGTATTTTAATTTATTCAAATAGGAGATATCGATGAGCAGTTTTTGTTGTTTCAACATGAACAACTACAATAAATCTCTTTAAATGTGTGTATTGGTGCTTTTTGTTTTTTTGAGGCTAGGTTCCAATAAGTGATAATGTAGGGTCAAACAGAATGTATATTTTATTTTATTTTTATTTTTAAAGATTTTATTTATTCATTTGAGAGAGAGAGAGAGAGAGCACAGGAACAGAGGGAGGGGCAGAGGGAGAAGCAGACTCCCCGATGAGTGCAGAGCCCAACCTGAGGCTTGATCCCAGGACCCTGAGTTCATGACCTGGGCTGATCAGACGCTTAACTGACTGAGCTACCCAGGCACCCCAAGAATGTATAGTTTAAATTTTCATTGATACTGTATCAGGTTACTTCTAGAAAAGATTATAGCAATTTACGCTTCCACCAGCAGTGTAAGAAACTGGCCCTTGTAACTGGAATGGACTGTTATCACTCTTAAATTTTTGCCAAGATGATAGGTGAAGAATAGTATTTCATGACTTTAATTGCCTTTCCCTGATTCATTGTAACGTTCTCTTTTCAAAATTTTCTCAGGTACTTGCATTCCTTCTTCAGTGAATGCCTTAACATATTATCTCTCTCTTTTTTTAAAAAAATTATGTTCCTACTTGTCTTTATGAAATCTATTTTTTTGAAAACTATTTTTTAAAGACTTTATTTATTTATTCATGAGACACACACACACATACACACACAGAAAGAGAGAGAGAGAGAGAGAGAGAGAGAGAGAGGGAGAGGCAGAGACACAGGCAGAGAGAGAAGCAGGTTCCATGCAGGGAAGCCTGACATGGGACTCCATCCCAGGTCTCCAGGATCAGGCCCTGGGCTGAAGGGGGCGTTAAACTGCTGAGCCACCTGGGCTGGTCTGAAATCTATTTTGTTGGTATCCTTGCTTGTTAGGAACCTTAACCCTTGTCATAGGTGTTATAGATATTTTCCCCCAATCTATGATTTGTCTTCTGACTTTAAGCATAGGTTTTAGAATCAGAAGGATTAGTATTAGGATGAATCTAGTTTCATGATTTTCTAGCTGTTTGTGTTCCTGGGTTTTTTTAGTCTCTGCGAGCCTTAGTTTCCCCTTAAAATTAAGATAATAGGGATTCCTGGGTGGCTCAGCAGTTTAGCGTCTGCCTTTGGCCCAGGGCCTGATCCTGGAGTACCGGGATCAGGTCCCATGTCGGGCTCCCTGCATGGAGCCTGCTTCTCCCTCTGCCTGTGTCTCTGCCTCTCTCTCTCTCTCTGTGTGTCTCTCATGAATAAATAAATAAATAAAATATTTTTAAAAAATTAAGATAATAGTACGTATTATTTTGTAATTAAGTAGACTCCACGCCCAGTGTGGCGCTTGAACTCATGACCCTGAAATTAAGAGTTGCATGCTCTACCCACTGAGCTAGACTGGAGCTCCCTATAGTACATGCTTTTTTTTCTTCCAAGATTTTATTTAAATTCAAGTTAAACAGTAGTATATAATTTTAAAGGATTGCTGGGATAAAGAAGCTGCGATATGTAGAGTGAGGAAATACAACTTTAATAGAACCCTTTCCCCTTTCCAGCCCATGTAAGGAAAGAGAGTTTGAGTGTCTAAGGAGCTAACTGGTATGGAATGAAGATTCTACTTTAAGGCTAAATTTTCTTAGAGTGTTAGTGTATTTTCTATTTTTAAAAATTTTTCCTCTTGATTTTCTGCATATCATTGTAATGCTTACAGATAATCATTAGAAAGAAGTAAATAGGAATGGTGGATTGTGTTGTGGTGGTAGGGTTGCCAGTGGTCCCTCTTCCTCACCCATTCTTTCATAGACTCTCTCTTGTTTTATAATTAAGAAAAATTCCAGCCTTTTTTTAAAAAAGATTTTATTTATTTATTCATGAGAGACATGGAGAGAGAGAGAGAGAAAGGCAGAGACATAGGCAGAGGGAGAGGGAGAAGCAGGCTCCCCACAGGGAGCCTGATGTGGGACTCAATCACAGGACCTGGGATCACACCCTGCTGACGGCAGATGCTCAACTGCTGAGCCACCCAGGTATCCCCAATTCCAGTCTTTTTAAGCTGGTTTATGGGATACCAGGGAAGTGGTTTGGGTTTGGCTGTTCTTAGGCTATAGTTTTAAAATGGGGCAGAGCTTGGGATGCCTGGGTAGCTCAGCAGTTGAGCATCTGCCTTTGGCTCAAGGTGTGATCCCGGGGTCCTGGGATTGAGTCTGACATCAGGCTCCCTGCATGAAGCCTGCTTTTCCCTCTACCTGTGTCTCTGCCTCTCTCTCTGTGTCTCTCATGAATAAATAAATAAAATCTTAAAAAAATAAATTAAATCTATTTTTAAAGATTATTTTAAAGATTATTATAAAATAAATAAATTAAATAAAACGGGACAGAGCTCATATGGGCCAGTTGTGATAGCAGAAGTCCTCAGAATGAGACAACTCTTAAGGTAAGATGAATCTCTGAAAATGGGTTGGAAAACTAACTGCTTGTAAAATGGCCCTTTTCACCTGCAGATTATCCTTGCAGAAATCTCTTGTCATCCTTTGGTAGATTCATTTTGATTAGGGAGGCTATTCCCTGACATCTGGAGTCTCAGTCCTCTGCAGAACAGAGAAGTATTTATGCTGAGATGCTACAGCATGGTGATCTCACACCTAACTCTTAGCCAAGCCACACTGGTCACTTTAGTGTGGACTGGTTTCGTACAGGAGAAATTTCTGTGGGTATGGGCTGGGGCACTCGGTGAGAAGTGAAAAAGAGGTTAAAAAACATTTACCTCTTAGTATTTGTTAAACCATATTTGGATTTAATTTTCCTTCTTGTCCTGGCCTGTGAACAGGTACTGAAATTGAGTTCTTACCAAGATTAGACTACCTGCACCTCCCCCCTCCCCCTATCCCGGGATATCTGTTCATATACGTAATAGCCAATGGTGTAGCCCAGCTATTTCTGAAAGAAAGAAATGGCATCAAATCATGTGAATTGAGAACTTCTGGAAGGGAATTCTGCTTTGCCACCAACCCCAGGACATTATAATCACTAAGAGACCTTTCTGAGGATATGTAAAAATCATCTGAAAGTAGAAATTTATTATAAAATGATTATATATTTATATAAACCTAAGATATTAGCAAGTGTAAGGTCTTCCCTGAACTTCCTTGAGTAGATTTAACAAAATCCAATGATTCATATTCTCCCATTCCCACAAATAAAAAGATGTATAGACCCTTTAAAGAACTGGAAGGGAATTGAGAAGGCCTCTGTGCCAAGCACTCATTTAGTGCAGAATCTTGAGAACACCTTTCCTCAAAGATTTCTGTTTATGCTTTTGCTTCAATTGGAAATCTGCTACCCGTTTCACCTTTTGGACATCCTTAATTGTTAAATTCTTTTATTGGACTGAAATTTGCTTCCCTGTGATTTTTTTCTAGATCTGCCATTTCTTGTTACAAAGAACAAAACCCAACAAAAAGTCCTTTCTTGATAAGAACCTGCCCTTCATTTTTTATCCCTCTAAATCTTCCCTTTTCTGGATGAAACATTGCCGGGTTTGCAGAAGCACTGTAGTTTGGTAGAAAGAGAGGGATGGAGAAGGGAGGAGATGGGCTGCTACCTCTACCTCTTGTGGAACTAGCCTGCTGCTTTACCACCCTGGGCCTTAATTTTTCCTTCGTAATATGAGGAAGCCGGACTTAGATGACCTTTGAGATTGCTTTCCACACTAGATGCTGGGTTCTTAACTTTTCATCTGAGGCCTGTGTTAAATGGTTCTGTTTGTCATCTTCTGTCTGCCCTCTTGTGGACGCTGTCTTGGGAAGAAAATAAAATATTAAATTGCTTGAAGAACAACATAATGGCCACCCCCTCGCCCCCCCACATAAAAAAATTCACCTACATTACAGTTTTCATGCATTCCTGTTCCCCCCTAGTCCTCATCCATGAGTGTACATAATTAGTTTTTATATGATTGGATCATATGAGGGACATAATCTGGTATTGCTTTTTCTTCCTCACTGAATCATAAGCATTTTATATATTCTTATGAAGGCATATATATCTGTACTCTGAAGACATACATATATTTAATTGAGATGTAATTCATATACCATAAAATTCATTCTTTTAACGTATACAGTTTAGCGGTTTTTAGTATATTCATAAGATTGTGGAACCATCACTTCTATCTAATTCCTTCCCCCAAACAGACCCCATATCCATTAGTGATCACTCTCCATCCTCCCCTCCCCCAACCCCTGGCAACCACTGATTTACTTTCTATCTCTATGGATTTGCCTATCCTGGATATGTTGTACAAATGGAATCATAGAATGTCTCCTTTTGTGTTTGGCTTTTTTTTTTTTTACTTAGCATAGTGTTTTCAAGATTTATCCATGTTTGTAGCATGCATCATCATTCTATGCTTTTTGTTTTATCTTTTCAAACAGCATATCATTATATATATATATTTTAGTATATCATTATATTTTAAAGCTGTATAGTATTCCCTTTTTGGGAGACATTTAGGCTATTCGTGTATATGTTTTTGTTGTTATATAGAATGCCACATCGATATCTTCATGTTTCTAAATTCATTTATTCTCTTGAATTATTTCAGAATAAATTCCCATGGGTGGGATTACTGGGTCAAAGGGTATGAACATTTTTATGGCTCTTGTCAATATTGCTCTTAAATTGTGCCCAGAACTAAATGCAATTCTCAGATGTGTTCAGACAGAACAGGGTACTGTGGGGCTATTAAGTTCTCAAGGTCTGGACAATATATCACCCTTTAAATCAAGCAGTCTAAGAATTTATTAGCTTTTTTTGGTTGCTCATTGAGCTTATAGCCAACGAAGGCCCTTAGATCTTTTTCCTAGGGACTGTGTCTTAAAGCTATGCTTGCATAGCTAGGACCCAGGAGATTTTGAGGACTCCCTGACTTGAATTTAGCATTTCTTTGTTTTCTCTTTTCCTTACCAGTAGGTGATCCTAACAAGCTAGCAGGAGCTTTGTGTTTATTGCAGTCTT